GCCCACCCCCTCGGCTTCCGCCGCCACAGCTCCAGCCTGCAACACCGCCTACCCCCTAACGCCTCCCACTCACTCTCGCGAGAGCATGGCGCCCCTCTCGCGAGAAGAACTCCGTGGCCAAGCCCGCGCAAAAGTGGGTGGGCTTTTAAAAAGGGAAAGAAGGAACAAGAAAAAGCCTTCCCACGTGCTCCCGGGCAGCTAGCGGGTCAGCCCGGCCAGTCACATGACGTCCAGGCGGCCTCTCCACTGGCCAGAACCCGCTCATCCGTGGGAGCTTTAAACTCGAGGCTGACCTACGAACCTGCGGCGGACGTCTTGCGCGCTTCCTGGTCCGTTGCCTTGGAAACGGGAACCTTTTCCTCTGGCAAGTACCCAGGCCTTGGCTTGCTCCGCAGGTTTGGTTTGAGGCCCTACCTCCTTTCCTTCGACCCCTCAGTCTTACAGCCTGGAGCCAGCTGGGCTCCTTCTTCGCCGCAAGGCTAGCTTTGCCTTCTTCTGAAACCCCAGGCCCTTCCCGAAGTGGCCGCCCCACCACATCTGACGGTCCACGAAAGGCTCTTCGTTTTGGATGGCTCCGCCCCTTCCCCCCAGTATCTCCAAGGGGGACTACTCAGGGCGCACCGGGCCGTCGGCCCCATCTGGACCGCAAGAATGCACACCAAGGGTTCGCCCGGCCCTGGTGCTCAACCTGACGTCTTTACCTGGTATCGAAATCAGAAAGTAAAGCTTTGATCACAGAGAATGAAAAGCTATTATGTTGATTATTTGCACTTAAAATCGGAAGGCCCAGTCCAGTCAAGTTGCACGCCTCAAGGGCATCTATTCCTCAAGGGTGGAAATGCCTGGTAGATGAGAAAGACATTTTTAAGTGTATCCTCATTATGACTTAAGTTTTGCCCTATTTGGAGGCCAGGGGCGGGGAAGAAAGGGTGCATTCTTATGTTCGTTTCTTCATTCAACAAATTTTGGTTTAGCTCCTACATATGTTAGGCAATACTCTAGGCTGCCGATTGAGCCCTGATGAAGACGAATAGTGGGGGTTCTAGGGTGCTTATCTGAGGAGGAAAGAAGAAAAAAATTTGTGTTGGTGTTAAGCTGTATGCTGAGAAATTACAATAAATGATGGTGATTGTGATTGGGTGTCTACTTGAGCAGCCCTTTTGAGGAGGAGACATTTAAGCAGTGATTTGAGTTACAGTCAAGTAAAAATCAGAAAGGACATTCCAGGCAAAGGAAAAAGCTAATTCAAAGGCCCTAAATGGGGACCTATTCTAGTGCATTTGGTGGGGGGGATGAGAAAGTAGACTTGCATGAGCATGGAGGGAATGAACTTGGGCCAGATCCTCCAAGGCTTTGTTAGCCAAGAAAGGAATTGAGAGTTCACTCTAAATGCAATGGAAGGTATTGAGGAGTTTTAAATAGAGGAGAAACATGTAAAGTTTACTTTAAAACAAAAAACAAAAACACTCTTCTCCGCAGAGACTGGATCTTAAGGAGGCCAGACGTAAGCAGAGAGATAGATGAATTGTAGTACAGTGAGAGACAATCATTGAAGACTTAATTTCTAATGACCTTGACATTCGTCTTCTAAATTCCTTCAGGTCATATTCCTGGTGTTGTTTACTGCCTTTTATTAAAAACACGTGAGTTTCTCCTATTCAATAAGAGAAATAAATGGGATTTTTTTTTGTTATTGTTACTTGGGAAAACAAATGGCCCAAAAGATAGGCCCTGCCGTTTACACAGATAAACACCTATCTAGTCTTAAAGTCAATTCTAAGAAAAATGGAACATAAAATGATGTTCCGTGTGGATACTTACTCCTTAGTGTAAAATTTGAAAAGATAAAGATTGAAGGCTGGAAAATGAAGAGGCTGTTTCACTAAAAGAAACAAGTCAGGAGACAAGTTCCAAGCGCTCTCATTAACTAGTGATGCAACTGAATCAA